AAAACAATGTCTCATCACTCATCAGTACTCTTCAATAAAGGTAAATGTCATTTTAACATTTATTTATGTAGTTATTATGCATATTTTAAAATTTTTTTTAATACTTTTGGTTGTCTGGAACGGATTAATTGGATTTCCATTATTTCTTATGGGGAAAATTAACTCGACTAACGATAATTTCGACTAACGTTGAGCTCTCAGGAACGGATTAATATTGTTGGTCGAGGGTCCACTGTATATACAATTAATCTGTTCCTGACACCCAGAAGTATTAAAACAAAAAATGTTTTTACATGAAATACAGTGGACCCCCGGTATTCGATGGCATCGGTATCCGATAAATCCGGTATTCGATGTATTTTAATGCAAAAATTTCGCCTCGGTATCCAATCAAAAACTCGGTATTCGATGCGATTCGTACGAGACGTGTCTACGTGTGGCCTGAACTGCCCCGTGCGTGCCAGTGTTTACAAGCCAGGCAGTGTGCGCGCATCTAAGGATACATTCAGTACATTCCATATTATCACTGTTTTTGGTGCTTGTTTCTGCAAAATAAGTCACCATGGGCCCCAAGAAAGCTTCTAGTGCCAACCCTTCGAGAAAAAAGGTGCTAATGACTACTGAAATGAAAGAGATAATTGCTAAGTACGAAAGTGGAGTGCGTGTGTCTGAGCTGGCCAGGTTGTATAGTAAATCCCAATCAATCATCTCTACTATAGTGACCAGGAAAACGGCAATCAAGGAGGCTGTTCTTGCAAAAGGTGCAACTGTGATTACGAAACAGAGCGCAAGTGTTAGAAGATGTTGAGAGACTGTTATTGGTGTGGATAAATGAAAAACAGATAGCAGGAGAAGCATCTCTCAAGTGATCATTTGTGAAAAGGCTAGTCAGTTGCATGATGATTTGGTAAAGAAATTGCCTGCAACTAGTGGTGATGTGAGTGAATTTAAGGCCAGCAAAAGATTTAAGAATCGTAGTGGCATACATAGTGTGATTAGGCATGGTGAGGCTGCCAGTTTGGACCAAAAAGCAGCTGAAAAATATGTGAAAGAATTCAAGGATTACATAGACAGTGAAGAATTTAAACCTGAACAAGTGTTAAATTGCGACGAAACAGGCCTGTTTTGGAAGAAAATGCCAAGCAGGACCTACATTACTCAGGAGGAAAAGGCACTCCCAGGACATAAGCCTATGAAAGACAGGCTTACTCTGTTGATGTGTGCCAATGCTAGTGGTGATTGCAAAGTGAAGCCTTTATTGGTGTATCACTCTGAAACTCCCAGAGTGTTCAGGAAAAACATTGTCCTCAAGGCTAATTTGTGTGTGCTGTGGAGGGCAAACAGTAAAGCATGGGTCACTAGGGACTTTTTCTATGACTGGTTACACCATGCATTTGCCCCCACTGTGAAAAATTACCTCCTGGAAAATAAATTGGACCTTAAGTGCCTCCTGGTATTAGACAATGCTCCTGGTCATCCTTCAGACGTGGCAGAGCGACATTCTGCTGACATGAGCTTCATTAAGGTCAAGTTTTTGCCTCCTAATACCACTCCTCTCCTGCAGCCCATGGACCAGCAGGTCATTTCCAACTTCAAGAAACTGTACACAAAAGCTATGTTTCAAAAGTGCTTTGTAGTGACCACAGACACTCAACTGACTCTAAAAGAGTTTTGGAAGGATCACTTTAATATCCTCATGTGTATAAACCTTATAGGTAAGGCTTGGGAGGGAGTGACTAAGAGGACCTTGAACTCTGCTTGGAAGGAACTGTGGCCAGAATGTGTAGACAAAAGGGATTTTGAAGGGTTTGAGGCTAACCTTGAGAAGCCTATGCCAGTTGAGGAATCCATTGTGGCATTGGGGAAGTCCTTGGGGTTGGAGGTTAGTGGGGAGGATGTGGAAGAGTTGGTGGAGGAGGACAATGAAGAACTAACCACTGATGAGCTGCTAGATCATCTTCAACAGCAAGAGGCCAGACCTGAGGAAACTGCTTCGGAGGAGGGGATAGAGAAATTGAGGAAGTTGCTTTCTTCAAAGATTAAGGACATGTGTGCAATGTGGCTTAAAGTGCAAACCTTTTTTGATGACAATCACCCTGGCACAGCTACGGCAAGCCGTGTTGGCAACCTGTACAATGACAATGTTGTGAATCACTTTTGGAAAGTCATAAAGGAACGAGAGGTACAGGCCTCTGTGGACAGATATGTTGTGCGACAGAAGTCCAGTGACTCTCAAGCTGGTCCTAGTATCATTAAAAGAAGAAGGGAAGTAACCCCGGAAAAGGACTTGCTACCTCAAGTCCTAATGGAAGGGGATTCCCCTTCTAAACAGTAACAACTTTGACACTCTCCCCTCCCATCCCATCAATCATCACCAGATCTTCATTAAAGATAAGTGTCAATTATTCTATTGTTATTGTTGTTATTGTAATTATTCTATTGCATTAAACTTAATATTTCATGTGGTAAAATTTTTTTTTTTTTCATACTTTTGGGTGTCTTGCACGGATTAATTTGATTTCCATTATTTCTTATGGGGAAAATTGATTTGCTTTTCAATAATTTCGGTATTCGATGAGCTCTCAGAACAGATTAATATCGAATACCAGGGGTCCACTGTATAGATGTAGTACATAAACGATACAATGGGACATGATGAATGAAACATTAACAGCATAACACCTACCTTTATTGGCGATTCTTCTTAGTGTATGGAAGACTGGAGGAGGAGAGAGCTTGGATTAGTTACTGTTTGGAAAGGGAATTCCCTTCCATCAACACCTCAGGTACCAAGTGCTTTTCTGGGGTTACTTCTCTTCTGTTTCTTAATGCCACTAGGACCAGCTTGAGTCACTGGAGTCCTGTCTCACAAAAAAAGTGTCCAGAGAGCTCTGTTTCTGGCATCTCTTTAAAACTTGCCTCAAATGGGACAAGACATTGTCATTGTACATGTTGCCAACACAGCTTGCAACATCTTTGTCATGGTGATGTTCCTCCATAAACATTTGCACCTCACTCCACTTTGCACAAATGTCCTTAAGCTTTCAAGAAGGCACCTTATTCCATCTGTTTTCCTCCTCCTCTAAGCAATTTCTTCAGCTGTGGTCTGTTGCTGTTGCAGATGAAGCTCTTGCAGCTCTTCAGTGGTAGCTCTTCATTGTGGACCTCCACCAACTCTTCCACATCCTGGCCACTCACGTCCAACCCCATGAATTCCCCAATGCCACAGTTGATTGCATAACAGGTGTAGGGTCGACAGAGTCAGCCTCAAGCCCTTCAAAATCCTTCTCAAGGACACATTCTGGCCACAAGTTTCTCCAAGCAGAGTTGAAAGCCGTGGAAGTCACTCCCTGCCAAGCCTTATCTTAATAAAGCTTATACAGTTGAGGATAATGATGTGATCCTTCCAGAACTCTCTTAGGGTCAATTGAGTGTCTGAGGTTACATCAGAGCACCCTTGAAACATTGCTTTGGTGTAGAGTTTTTTGAAGTTTGAAATGATCTGGTCCATGGGCTGGATGAGTGGAGTGGTATTAGGGGGCAAGAACTTCACTGTGATGAAGCTAAACTCCTCCACCATTGGTCATCCAAGACTGGAAGATGAGCAGGAGCATTGTCCATTACCAGGAGGCACTTGAGTGGCAATTTTTTTTCCAGGAGATATTCCTTCACACTCAGGCCACACACTTCATTGAACCAATCAAGGAAAATTTTCCTTGTGACTCATGCCTTACTGTTAGCCTTCCACATCACGCACAATTTACTCACGGCGACACTGTTTTTCTTGAACACTCTGGGATTTTCAGTGATACACCAGTAAAGGCTTCACTTTGAAATCCCCACTAGCATTACCATAGAACATGAGAGTTAGCCTGTCTTTCATAGGCTTGTGTCCTGGCAGTGCCATTTCCTCCTGCACGATGTAGGTCCTCTTTGGCATTTTCTTCCAGAAGAGGCCTGTTTCGTCACAATTGAACACTTGTTGGGGGATGAACCCTTCAGCCTTTACATAATCCTTGAATTCCTGCACAAAATTTTCAGCCACATATTTGTCAGAACTGGCAGCCTCACCATTCCTTACCATACTGTGTATGTCGCTACACTTCTTAAATCTCTCAAACCAGCCTTTGCTTGCCTTAAATTTACTAACATCAGCACTCGTTCCAGGCATTTTCTTTACGAGATCGGCATGCAACTACCTTGCCTTTTCACAAATTATCAACTGCATAGCACTATCTCCTGCTGATTGTTTTTGGTTGGTCCACTAACATCAAATTCTCAACATCTTCAAGTATTTGCAGTCTCTTTTTGGTGAGCATATCTTCCCTTTTCATAGCAACAGTTTCCTTGATTTCCCTTTTCTTCAACATGATGGAAGTGATCGTTGAATGGGGCTTCCTGTACATCCTGCTGAGTTCGACCACACACACACTTCATATTTTGCGATGATTTCTTTCTTTAATTCTATTGTGTTTCTCACCTTCTTTACCAAAGAGCTGGCACTAGAAGCTTTCTTTGGGCCCATAGTGGCTTATTTAGCAGTTGCAAGCACAATAAAGAATGGATAATTACGAAATGTATTGTATGGACGTGTGTGGTAAGTCACTCGTCCACAAACAATGCCACAATGACTCCTGAATGCTGTGTGGGAGCCTTTGTGTATGCCCGGCTGCTCCCAGCAGCATGGATGCATTCTGTATGACAGACGAATCATGAGGCAGATCACGAACAGCGAGGCTTTATTTTGCCGAAAAAAGTTGCCAAAAGTTGAAATTTACGAAGCGCGAGGTTCACGAATCTCAGGGGTCCACTGTACAGTGATCACTGACATGTCCTTTTAGACTTCCTGTTTCCTTACAGCTTTCACTTTCTTAAGCAATTCTTTGTGCTTGGCGTGCTCTCTCTACTGTGTAAGAGGAAGTGAGTGAGAGAGGACACAGCATCTGACAAAACTTGCTACTTTTCATTAGTAAACAAAATTTTGTACTTTATCATTTCAGTGCTTTGATACTTGATGCCCATAGAATTCCACACAATCTGACCACGTATAACAACAGAAAAAATATGTCTGTGGAAGATGCCAGAAGCAGTGCAAGGAACCTGGAAATTGTTGTCATAAAGCTGGGATCCACTATTTGCAGGTAACTTTTGTTGGATAGGGTTGTTTAATCTTTTACTGAAGTTATTGGCATGTACTGTACTGTACTCTATTTTGATGTATTTTATTATAAAATATTTAAGATTTAAGAGATTCTAGGCTTTGAACAGCTATATTTTACAAGTTTTTTTTTTTTTTTTTTTTTTTCCCCCCAACAAGTCGGCCATCTCCCGCCGAGGCAGGGTGACCCCCCCAAAAAAAGAAGAAAATCCCCAAAAAGAAAATACTTTCATCATCATTCAACACTTTCACCACACTCGTACATTATCACTGTTTTTGCAGAGGTGCTCAGAATACAACAGTTTAGAAGCATACACATATAAAGATACACAACATATCCCTCCAAACTGCCAATATCCCAAACCCCTCCTTTAAAGTGCAGGCATTGTACTTCCCATTTCCAGGACTCAAGTCCGACTATATGAAAATAACCGGTTTCCCTGAATCCCTTCACTAAATGTTACCCTGCTCACACTCCAACAGATCGTCAGGTCCCAAGTACCATTCGTCTCCATTCACTCCTATCGAACACGCTCACGCACGCTTGCTGGAAGTCCAAGCCCCTTGCCCACAAAACCTCCTTTACCCCCTCTCTCCAACCCTTTCGAGGACAACCCCTACCCTGCCTTCCTTCCCCTATAGATTTATATGCTTTCCATGTCATTCTACTTTGATCCATTCTCTCTAAATGACCAAACCACCTCAACAACCCCTCTTCTGCCCTCTGACTAATACTTTTATTAACTCCACACCTTTTCCTAATTTCCACACTCCGAATTTTCTGCATAATATTTACACCACACATTGCCCTTAAACAGGACATCTCCACTGCCTCCAACCGTCTCCTCGCTGCTGCATTTACCACCCAAGCTTCACACCCATATAAGAGTGTTGGTACTACTATACTTTCATACATTCCTTCTTTGCCTCCATAGATAACGTTTTTTGACTCCACATATACCTCAACGCACCACTCACCTTTTTTCCCTCATCAATTCTATGATTAACCTCATCCTTCATAAATCCATCCGCCGACACGTCAACTCCCAAGTATCTGAAAACATTCACTTCTTCCATACTCCTCCTCCCCAATTTGATATCCAATTTTTCTTTATCTAAATCATTTGACACCCTCATCACCTTACTCTTTTTTATGTTCACTTTCAACTTTCTACCTTTACACACATTCCCAAACTCATCCACTAACCTTTGCAATTTTTCTTTAGAATCTCCCATAAACACAGTATCATCAGCAAAAAGTAACTGTGTCAATTCCCATTTTGAATTTGATTCCCCAAAATTTAATCCCACCCCTCTCCAGAACACCCTAGCATTTACTTCCTTTACAACCCCATCTATAATTATATTAAACAACCATGGTGACATTACACATCCCTGTCTAAGACCTACTTTTACCGGGAAATAATCTCCCTCTCTTCTACACACCCTAACCTGAGCTTCACTATCCTCATAAAAACTCTTTACAGCATTTAATAACTTACCACCTATTCCATATACTTGCAACATCTGCCTCATTGCTCCTCTATCCACTCTATCATATGCCTTTTCTAAATCCATAAATGCAATAAAAACTTCCCTACCTTTATCTAAATACTGTTCACATATATGCTTCAATGTAAACACTTGATCTACACATCCCCTACCCACTCTGAAACCTCCTTGCTCATCCGCAATCCTACATTCTGTCTTACCTCTTAATTCTTTCAATTATAACCCTACCGTACACTTTTCCTGGTATACTCAGTAAACTTATTCCTCTATAATTTTTACAGTCTCTTTTGTCCCCTTTCCCTTTATATAAAGGGACTATACATGCTCTCTGCCAATCCCTAGGTACCTTCCCCTCTTTCATACATTTATTAAACAAAAGTACCAACCACTCCAACATTAAATCCCCCCTTTGCTTTTAACATTTCTGTCATGATCCCATCAGTTCCAGCTGCTTTACCCTCTTTCATTTTACGTAATGCCTCACGTACCTCCCCCACACTTACGTTCTGCTCTTCTTCACTCCTAAAAGATGGTATACCTCCCTGACCAGTGCATGAAATTACTGCCTCTGTTCCTTCCTTAACATTTAAAAGTTCCTCAAAATATTCTCGCCATCTACCTAATACCTCCATCTCCCCATCTACTAACTCCCCTACTCTGTTTTTAACTGACAAATCCATACTTTCCCTAGGCTTTCTTAACTTGTTTAACTCACTCCAAAATTTTTTCTTATTTTCATTAAAATTTCTTGACAATGCCTCTCCCACTCTATCATCTGCTCTCCTTTTGCACTCTCTCACCACTCTCTTTACCTTTCTTTTACTCTCCATATACTCTGCTCTTCTTATAACACTTCTGCTTTGTAAAAACTTCTCATAAGCTACCTTTTTCTCTTTTATCACACCCTTTACTTCATCATTCCACCAATCACTCCTCTTTCCTCCTGCCCCCACCTTCCTATAACCACAAACTTCTGCCCCACATTCTAATACTGCATTTTTAAAACTATTCCAACCCTCTTCAACCCCCCCACTACTCATCTTTGCACTAGCCCACCTTTCTGCCAATAGTCGCTTATATCTCACCCGAACTTCCTCCTCCCTTAGTTTATACACTTTCACCTCCGTCTTACTTGTTGTTGCCACCTTCCTCTTTTCCCATCTACCTCTTACTCTAACTGTAGCTACAACTAAATAGTGATCTGATATATCAGTTGCCCCTCTATAAACATGTACATCCTGGAACCTACCCATCAACCTTTTATCCACCAATACATAATCTAATAAACTACTTTCATTACGTGCTACATCATACCTTGTATATTTATTTATCCTCTTTTTCATAAAATATGTATTACTTATTACCAAATCTCTTTCTACACATAGCTCAATTAAAGGCTCCCCATTTACATTTACCCTGGCACCCCAAATTTACCTACTACTCCCTCCATAACATTTTTACCCACTTTAGCATTGAAATCCCCAACCACCATTACTCTCACACTTGATTCAAAACTCCCCACGCATTCACTCATACATTTCCCAAAATCTCTCTCTCTCTCCTCTACACTTCTCTCTTCTCCTGGTGCATACACGCTTATTATAACCCACTTTTCACATCCAATCTTTATTTTACTCCACATAATCCTTGAATTAATACAAGTAGAGAATATTAACAATATTAAGAATATTACAAGTAGAGAATATTAACCCCTTGACTCTCGCAACCCCCAATCCTGAGATGTCTCCTGATGTCGCAAAATTTAAAAAAAAAAAAAATTATTTTTTCTTATGAAATGATAGAGAATCTTTTTCCCGATTGTAATGACACCAAAAAAAACGAAATTTGATGGAAAACTGACAGAATTACACTCTCGCGAAGTTAGCGACCTCGGCGATATTTACAAATTGGCGATTTTGCCCACTTTGAGCCCTATTTTCAGCTAATTCCATTGTTCCAGTCTACCAAACTCGTAGCTATTTCTTTAGAACTCCAGTTTTTCTATCGATTGAGTACAAGAAACTGCATATTTACCGATGTCAACTACCCAATAACATGATCAGAAATTTGCAATTTGGCCAATTTCACGAAAATTAAAAAATATAACAATTTCAAAATAGGGTCCTGAATGAACAATGCAGACATTCCTGGCTCTAAAATAACATTTTCTTTGTTCATCAGTTATGTCTCCAGGCCCCTGATATTACTCTTGCTTTCTATTTTGAATTTTTATTAAAAAAAAAATAGAAAATTTACTGTTATGCAGACTACTGCAATACTGTAATAATTGTAAAAATAATGTCAACCCATTCATGACTGCACATCAGAATGGCTAGTTAGACATTTATTGGACAATGACATCATTTGTTTACTTTTGAACATCAGCAAAAATCTAACATTTCCCCTACTTTGAGCTCCATTTCAAGGTTCTTTTTATAGTAAAACCAATCAAAATCGCCTCTATTTCTATAATATGTTTTCCACACTATCAAATAAGACCAAGAAAACGAGAATACAACCATAAATGCTATACGAAAATAGACAACAAAGTCGGCATTTTAATTAAAAAAAAAACAGTCGGAGTTTTTTTTCTCATTATGCACTGCGTGATCCAGGATTTTTTTTATATGGTGCATACTGAACATACAGACCCATTCTCTCACCTGTGGGCCTACCAGCTTTCTCCTGCTTGATTTGAAGCAGCTGGAATTTATGAGTATATATATACGTCAAACATGGTACCTCATAAGACGTATGTATATATACGACTGAAACAGTCAAAGGGTTAAAAATTAAGAGAACCTGGAGTTTGAAATATCTTTACTACTTTTTAAGATTTATGGACATAAAACATGTAGTCGCACCCACCACTAGGATGAAGACCAAGTACAGTGGACCCCCGCCTTACGATGGCATCGCATTACGTTAAATCTTCCATACGATACATTTTAACACAAAAATTTTGCCTCGCCTCAAGCTAAAAAAACTCGCCTTACGTGATTCGTCGAGGACGCATCCCATGTGTGGCCTCAGCACCAGTGTTTACAAGCCTTTGATATACCTTTGAAGAATTTCGAGATTATATCTACTCTCTGAGCCCGGCCATGGGCCAGGCTCGTCTGGTGCTCGCCTGGTCAACCAGGCTGTTGCTGCTGGAGGCCCACTGTCCCACATATCCATCACAGCCTGGTTGTTCTGGCACCTGGTGAAGATACTTGTTTGGTTTCCTCTTGAAGGCTTCAACACTTGTTCCAGCAGTGTTTCTGATATCTTCTGGTAAGATGTTGAAAAGTCTGGGATCCCGGATGTTGATACAGTGTACCCTTATTGTCCCCCACCGCACCCCTGCTCCTCACTGGGTTTATTTTACACTTCCTCCCATATCTCTCACTCCAGTATGTTGTTATGGCAGTGTGCAGATTTGGGACCAAGCCCTCGAGTACCTTCCAGGTATATATTATCATGTACCTG